TTCTTTCCTTCCTTCCCCCCTCCCTCCCTCTTTCCCCCTCCTTCCTGTTTTCCTCTCTCCATCCCTCCTTCTGCCTTAATTCCTCCCTCCCCCTGCTTTCTTTCTTTCCTTCCTTCCTCTCTCCCTCCCTCTTTCCCCCTCCTTCCTGTTTTCCTCTCTCCATCCCTCCTTCTGCCTTAATTCCTCCCTCCCCCTGCTTTCTTTCTTTCCTTCCTTCCTCTCTCCCTCCCTCTTTCCCCCTCCTTCCTTCCTTCTTTCCCCTCTTTCCCCCTCCTTCCTTCTTTCCTCTCTCCATCCCTCCTTCTGCCTTAATTCCTCCCTCCCCCTTTCTTTCTTTCCTTCCTTCCTCTCTCCCTCCCTCTTTCCCCCTCCTTCCTTCCTTCTTTCCCCTCTTTCCCCCTCCTTCCTTCTTTCCTCTCTCCATCCCTCCTTCTGCCTTAATTCCTCCCTCCCCCTTTCTTTCTTTCCTTCCCCTCTCACTCCCTCCTTTCCTCTTTCCCTCCCTCCCTTCCTCTTCCCCCTCTACTTTCTTTCCTTCCTTCCCTTTTTTCCTCTCTTCCTTCTTCTCTTCCCCTTCACCCCTCCCTCCCTGCCTTTCCCCCCTTCTATTACTATTCCTTTCCTTTCTGCTGGTGGGTTCAGCTGCCCTGGTCCTGGCCAGAAGCCCCCAGACCCATCCTGCCTTTGCTCAACTCAAATCCCTTTCAGGCCGGGGTGGGGAGTGGAGTCTGCTCTCCCCACCATCACTCTGACCCCCGCCCCACCCCCCTGTGTGTTCACAGGGAGGGAAGGGCCCCCCTGTGCCTACCTGACGTTGGGGTCTCCCCCGTGCTGGAGGAGGAGGTGGAGGCCACGTATCCCCTTCTCCTGCTCCAGGCCGGCAGCCAAGTGCATGGGGGCCACGCCCTCCTCCGGCAGGACCAGGTTGGGGTCAGCTCCCTCCCGGAGCATGGCAGCCACCATCCTGGAAGCAGAGGGAGGGGGGCTTGAAGGAGGGAGGGTCCCGGCAGGTGAGGGGAGCACAGGGCCCCCTTCCCCTCCCCTAAGAATCACTTTAGGCTCCCTTTAAATGTACACAGCACTCAAATGGAACTTCCTGGCCATGCAGCTCTCAAAGGCCCCCTAAGTCAGAAGGGCTGGGGGAGGGGGGAGGAGGAGGAGGGGGGAGGAACCGGCTGCCACTTTAGCAGCTGGCTCAGGAATTCTGGGAACGGAAGTCCGTAATTTGGAACGTTGCCCACAGCTGCCATATTGCAGAGGGATCGACTACATGCCCTCTAAGGCCCCTTGCAATTCCAGCAAGAAAGGAGAGCTGCAGGATTACAGTTCTGATGACTTTGCCCTCCCCCCATGCAAGAAGGAAGCTCTCTTTTCAGGGAGGAAGGGAAGGAGGGAGGGAGGGGGGCTGCTTCCCCCGAAATGCCCTGCACTGCTTCCAACTTTGGCCCATCCTTAGCCTAACCCTCTAACCCTAGTGGGTGAAACTCACGGCCCACAGGCCGGATGCTGCCCCCCCCCCCGACCCTGCCCAGTTAAGCAAAGGGGGTGGGGGCAGGGAAAGTCCTGGCCATGTGCAGAATCCAGCAGGTTCTGGCCAGTTCTAGAGAAATTTCCGTAGTGGAAATTTGAGTAGTTCAAAGAACCGGCAAATGCCACTTCTGGCTGGCCGCGCCCCCATCTATTCTCTGCCTCCCAAGTCCCAGCTGATGGGGAGGGAATGGGGATTTTGCAGTGTCCTTCCCCTTTCCCACTTGCCAAGCCCCGTCCACCAAGCCACACCACGCCCACCAAGCCCCGCCCACAGAACCGGCAGTCAAAAAAATGTGACTCCCACCACTGGTCACGTGACAAAGTTTGCCACGCCTCCTCTTAACCTAAGCTCCTCCCTCACCCCAAACCAAAGGGACACATTAGGCCAGTGATGACAAACCTTTTTGGCACCGAGTGTGCACACACACACACACACATCAGGACTGCAACCTGGAAGAGGAGTTGCAAAGGGGGGGGGGGTATTTGCGTGCCAGGAAATAAACTTCCGGTTTCCAGCACATGCATGCACACTGGCCTCCAAGACTCCTGGTTACTGTCGTGCACGCGTGTGCAATGATCACACGAAGGGCAGCGTGTATGACTATGCACGATGGCCAGCTGATCATTGCATGCACATTCGTGCCAAAAAACCCAGAAGAGGAATAGGCGATGCCACGCGTGCCAGGCAACATGGCCCCGTGTGCCAATTCGGAAAATTATTCTCCAAAGCACCTGAGGGCAGGACAGGAAACAACGGATGGAAACTAATCAAGGAAAGAAGCAACCTGGGATTTAGGAGACGCTTCCTAACAGGGATTAACCAGGGGAACAGCTGGCCACCAGAGGCTGCGGGGGGGGGGGGGGGGCTCCAACACTGGAGGTTTTCAAGAAGAGACTGGATTTGTCTGAAATGGGAGAGGGTCTCCTGCTTGAGCAGGGGGTTGGTCGAGACCAGAGGTCTATCAAAGCTGGCTGGAGAATTCTGGGAGTTGAAGTCCACAAGTCTTAAAGTGGGCAACTTTGAAGAACTCTGGTCTAGACCAGGGGGTCTTCAAAGTTGGCCACTTTAAGACTTGTGGACTTCAACACCCAGAGTTCCTCAGCCAGCAAAGCTGGCTGAGGAACTCTGGGT